GGTACTGTGTGCTCCAGCTAGTCTGTTTGGAGGATTCTAGGACCTTGTGCGTCTGTCATTCTCCAGGACTGGGCACCTCAAGGGCCAGGGGACATTGGGTTCAGAGAGCAGCACATTCAGGACCTGTGATTTTTAGGGGCAATTCATCACTTCTTATCTGTTTTTTCATCTCTAAAATGAGACTCATAATCCTTCCTCTGCTCACCTCAAAGGCTGCTGGCAAATTCCAATGTTCCTTACTGTATGTTACTAAACCTGGAAAGCTGGAGAGCTACACAAATTTTTTTCTCCTCCAGTCTTCTTCCTGTCCCTAAACACTGTCCTAAAGTTCATGGTGGCTTGCTTTCTAAAAGAAAGTACAGGGCAGTATTTTGAAAGGTTAAGTAATTGATACCTTGGTGACTCTTGTCTATACCTACTTTCCACCCTATAAAGCTATACAGGAATGGTCAATGGTTTAGATCTAATTTTCCCATTTCCACTCAGGAAACTTGCCCGCACTCACTACCCCATCCCTATTAACTCTGCTCTTTGATAATCAAATGGGATGCCTGGCTTCCAGCAACTACGAAGAACTTGCTTTCTGAGTTTCTGAGTGGCAAGTCTCTCACACTCTTAGCCCAGCAGTTGTTGTAACCACGTATTACACAATTTGGTGCACAGACCCTCTTAGATGGTTGTCATCTGGTCCAATCATTTTCCTGCATTAAGTTTGTCAAGTTTTTTTTTTTTTGTTTTGGTTTTTCGAGACAGGGTTTCTCTGTGGCTTTGGAACCTGTCCTGGAACTAGCTCTGTAGACCAGGCTGGTCTCGAACTCACAGAGATCCGCCTGCCTCTGCCTCCAGAGTGCTGGGATTAAAGGCGTGTGCCACCATCGCCCGATTTTTAAGCCAACCTGTGTACTTACTACAGTGTGAAATTCCTGCTCTGTCTTAAATGCCTAGTCAATGTGGTTGTTTGTACACTGTATGACAGAAGTGTGGTCGTCTGCTGTGGTCTTTTCTGCCTGTGCTATTTCTTGTGCCAGAGGTTCCACTTTCCTTCTATACGGTGTCTTATTTTTTCTTTTTCTTTTTGGTGCTGAGCATCAAACCCAGGTCCTGACACTAAAGATAGTCTACCACTGTGTTCCCAAAGTGTTCTAAAATTTTCTAGGCTTCTGCGACTGAAACCCACTCTCCAAAGCAGCCAGAGGACCAACCTGGGTATCATTATTATCTGACCACTGCAGGCTCAGGTTCATCCACATTACTTGGGGGTCACATTCTCCGCAACAGGACAGAGGCTGCTGGGATTGGGAAAAGTTCCATCTACTATCCTGAGCTACCTGTTACTGGCTGTCTGTTCTTGGGATCTCCTTCCTTAGAATAGAATAGACAGGGTTTCTCCAGCAAACAGCATGGGGCCAGGCAGTAGAGGCAGCATGGCAGAGTGGACTGCACACCAGGGAAAGAGCCAGGCTGAGACCCTTACTAGTTGAGTGGTCTTGGGGGAGCTACTTAACATCCCTGAGCACTGGTTTGGTCTGCAAAGGGAGCCAATTTGTATATTAATGAGGAGCTGAAGGTTGGATCTCTCCAAGATGTTTTGGGCAAGGCTTGAGATGTAGAAGCCACGTTTTCAAGCTGAAGGCATCCCCACGCTGTATGCTCTTGTCCTGTGACAATATGCCTTCTGGCAAGACCTCAAGCCAAGGTAAATGAGCTGGAGATGCATAGTTTGGTGCAAAGAGAGTAAGTGGGATGCACTGGTAAGAATCTTAGACTAGTTTCCTTCTGGTACTCTCATCAAAATGGGTTTCTCGAGCTTTCCCCGGAGCTCATGTGTCGTGGCATCACTTATGAAGAAGCATGTGACATGCAGGAAGAGCTCAAGCTGATTTCAAGAGTGGGGAGGGGAGCACTTTATTTGCAAAGAATAAACCGTTAATTTACACAAACTTACATCCCTAATTATATACATTATATATAGTTTATATACACAGTATCTCACACAGGATGCTGACTCCCCAAAGCAGCATTGGCCTGTTCCAGGCCATTCTCACAACAAATTTCCCTCACCCCCATCTCAGCTGGAAGCTTTTTGAATAAAGAAACACACCTCACCCCTCCTAGAAAGAGCCCTGAAGTAAATTTAAAAAAAAAAAAACAAATCAGGTTCTGTGGTGAACATGGCCTAGGGAGACCCCAGGCAAGGGTGGGAACTCAGGCAACACTAGGGAGGCCTAAAAACTGCCTGGCTCTGAGTCAGTCCAGAGCCTTCCAGCCCAGAGGCAGGAGCTGAACAAATGCCTTGGGGTAGTGTGTATGAGGAGGCGAGTTCCGATGAAGACTGCGGCCTACTCCCTGCCTGGCCAGGCTCCTGAAGGGAGACAAGCACTTCTAGCCTTGAGTCTGCGGGTGTATGAAAGAGGAGGCCCCATGGGAACTGCTGTGTCTGGAGGTGGGACCTGCTCACTGTCCCGGGCAGGCCATTTTCCCTGTCTGAGCATCATTTCACACGAGTAACAGGATGGGATGTAGGTTGGGCTGTAGTCCTACTAAGAGCCTTTCTAGGTCAAAATTTCTCTAGATCTGTTTGCATCTACTAGAAGCTGCATAAAACACAAGCCCTCACATGAGGATCAAAGTTCTCGCCTACCTCTAGGGTCCTTAGCTCTTGTTTCCTAAGCTACAGAGATTTGGCTCAGGATGGATAAAGGGGCAGCTAAGGCAAATGCTACATTTTCCAGGGAACCAGTAGCCAAACAACATCCAGCAGTCACATTTTGTGCCAACTTGGCTTCTGAAGCTCAGGCAGCTGGTAGAGGCTCCTGCCATGCAATTTCCCTTCAAACCTGTCATCTGCTTACTCAAACATGTCCCATTCTCTCTGCTAGCTTTGGGGTCACTTTACATCCTAACAATTCAAACTGTAAATATCTATCCCTATTCTTCTATCAGTAAATGCTGCACCACTTCGCCAATGGCCATAGCACAGTAGGCCTCCCCACTCTCTACAATTTCCTCCCCCCAGCCCTCTTCTCCTAGGGCTCCTTGTGAGGGGTTAGGATGAACAGCCCAATTCTCCTATGATCTGCACGCACAGAGTGCGATGGGGTTGGCAGGTCCTGCAGGGGCACAGTTAGGAAACTCATTTCCTCCCAGCCATGGGCTTTAGAAGTGTCTTAGCAGGTGCCCCCCCACCCCATTCTTGAGAGACTCTGGCAACATCAAGGTCTTTGTAATATGGCAGAAGGAGAGAAGAGTCACACTCAGCTATAGGAAGCAGAACGGCTCCCAGAACTTGTGTCTAGGGTTAGAAATGGAAGTCTTGTCCCCCATGGTAGCTCCCCATCGGATGGCTGCTGCTTTATCAGATGCGTGAAAGATCCTGAAGGCTACCTGCTCTGTGGGACCCAGAGCGCGAATGGAAGATTCTTCTCAAGACAAGAACTCTTAAGGTTGATCACTGGGGCTGATTCCCAAGAAAACGCCCAAGTCTTCTCCCACAGAACCCCTGGCAGCCAAGAAAACAGGCAGTACTATCAAGTGATGAAAATTGAAGATTGTTAAGTTTCTCCCTAGGACCCCCCAATGATGTCAGTTCCATACAATCACCTTTATTTGTTCTTCCTGGACCCCAAATTCCACACAGTGCTGTGATAAGGGACTAGCCTGGGAGTCAGACCTCACTAAAGGCTCAAATCTGTGACTTACACTGGGTGAGATCTTAGTCAAGGCCCTTTACCTCCCCAGCCTTACCTATATAACTCTCATATTCTCTACCCCGCGTTCTTCAAAGAAAATAATAAAAGAGGAAGTAATCTTCAAATACTAAGGAGAGGGTTTGGTAGTTCCTGCTGCCCCTGCTGATTGTTCAAGGCCTTCAGGGTGAGAAGCAGGTCTAAAGTTTACCTCAGTTCTGGTTGGAAGGCTGTCATTAGACAAAGCCCGACCACCTCCTGCCCTGACCCTTGAAGGACCAAGCAATGTGGCTACTTGGAAATGGAGGTGCACCTGAGAAACCTGTTGTTCTTAATGACATTCAGGGATGCATTTTCCATCTCTTCAGAAAGAAATACATTTCAGAAGCATGAGGAGCAGGCTGGACAAGGCTGACCCTCCCTGCTTTGGGCTGCACCTGACACTCTGAGGCCAGGCAATAGGAAAGAAAGTGTGTGAATAATCCCAGTGTAGGACCATGCCAGAAAACTGGTGGAGGTGCCTTTGGAGCTGAACTAGGGGTCAGAGCCCTGCCCAATAGTCAGACAGGTTGCTGTGGAGGCTGTCTCTAGGAGAGCAGCACAGACCTCTATGGTGACAGTAATCTGCTTCTGAAAGAAGACTGGGCTAGTGGGCCATCAGCTGCTGCTCTTTCAGATGAGACCTAACCTAACGGTCCCTGACCTAATGATCACTTGGATTGACTGGCTGATCACTGGGGTTGCAACGAACATGAACAAATCTCCCTGCTTTCCAATTCCTACTTCTCCCCCTTTCTGGGCCAGGTAGAAAAGCCCTGCTTTGCTAATGTCCAAGGGAGTCTGGGCTTTGGGAATTTAGAAGTCTACCGTAGTGGTAACTTTCGAGAGCCTCAGATATTCAAACTCTAAGGGCCTTTGGAGGTTATCCAGTTTAACCATCTGCTCCCAGACACAATTTGGTTAGAATTAGATGCATAATTGTATTGCTTAATCAACGGAAAATTCTTTGTGCCCAGGTCATTTAAAGAATACACCAGACTCATAAGAGATGGGTCCCACACGAGGCACCTGTCTCAGACAGAGGTAGGCACTATGGAGAGAGAAGATAGGACTTCTAGTCAGTCTGGGGAGGGTGGCAGGTGGGAAGACTCCAGGTAGTTTTCGGAGAGTGGAGCAGAGCTGTAAACAAAGTGAGACATGCGCAGCCCTAAGTATTGGGCTCTTACATAGGCAGGGGTGTGGCCATGCCTGCAATGATTCCAAGGTAGAGCAAAGTTCCCAGCTCTGGAGTCCAGCAAGCTGCCACAGTGTACCTCTCAGCCTGAGTGGGAAGAGCTGTTTGAGCCTCTTGTAGGTCATAGTGCAATACAGCAAGAATGCCTCCTCTGCCAAGGATGCTTGCTTGGCAGCTAATTGCCCAGGTCTCTGCCACAGGCACTTGCCTTCTTCTGACCTGATCCTTTCCTTAAGTTGCAACCTGATGCCACCCCCAGCCAAGAGAGAAGCAGCAGCCCCCTTGGAGTCAGAGGGTCACCCCTAGAATCTGGAGTGCACCTTTGCTTTTTGTGGCCTACTGTCTTGGATCTTCAGTTTAGTGCAACAAATGATACATCTGATGAGGGACCTAGGGGTTGAGGAGTCACGATAAGCCAGCCAGCAAGGAGCCTAAGGAGGTTCTGCTTCTTGAAAACCCTGGGGCTCCATCAACTGTCCTGGCAACTCAAGGTCATTGTGGGAAGTCGCACAGGCCTTGTCATCCTGGAGTCACTGGGGAATAAATAGCACTGGGGCATCTCTCTCTGTGGCTGCAACGCCAATATACCTCACTCCACAGCAGCACTTAGAGGTTCTGGGAGTCCTGGCTCCCAAACCTGGGGCAGGGGCATGGGACAGGATGGAATGGGAGAATCTAGGATGCAGGGGCTTCGCCCAGCCTGATGGCCCCAAAGAAGGTGGTGTGCTTGCTCATATTGATAGAGATGTCGGCATGCACCATCTTCACGGCAATTTTCTGCCTGGCCTTGAGGAGGCACACGCCTGCAGTATAGCAAGTGTTGTAGTTGGTCTTTCCTGTCTCAATGCTGCGGGTGCACTGCAGGAAGGGCTTCTCATCCACCACCACCTCGTAGCTGGCAAAGTCAGTGAAGTTGATGTAGTACACCTGGGTGAGAGGCAACGAGAAGGGATTGGGGGAGAGAGGAAAAAGAGGGTGGGCCCTCCCCTGCTGAGCAGATAAAACCTCCTCAGATGAGAGCTGCCAGTCTACCCTGCGCAGGGGGGTGGTGCCAGTTGGTCAACACGAACAGCAGGGTGACAGGATCACTGTCCTTCTACTCCATGGGCTCAAGGGGCTGAGCGAACCTTCCTTACAGACTGCTCGAGTCCACGAACTGAGCCTCATTTCCATTTCACTGGCCTGGCTCCCTAGCCCTGGCACGAAGCTCTGCTTTGCACACTTTCAGTGCTTACTGGGCACTCCAGATCCACTACCCTCCGCTTCCCATCCTGAAGACTGTTTAGGAGAGCGCTTAGGAATCTGTGATGCCTGAGGGAGCTCACAATAATCACTTCCCATTTCTCCAGCTTGCGAACAGAAACTTCCTGAGCTTGCAACACCCGCTCCGGTATTGCACTCCTCTCCGGACTCAGCACACCTTGGCCCTCCCACTGGCTGGCTGGAGACGCAGGTCCTGAGCTACGGAGAGCCAGCTCATACAAATGAGATAGCAAATCCTAGGCTCCTAACTTCATTCTCAGGCCAAGGAGGAAGTAAGAACCTACGGCCTGCTCTCATGGAGATTTTCTTAGCTCATACGGGCTATTCCTAATCCTCCCCTGGGTCCAGAAATTTACTTTCCATCTTCCATTACCTTTTGTCGGCACATCCCACCCTGAGCTTTGATTTTTTACCACTACCAAATGGAATTTAATCCACAGGTTATGCCCACATGTTGTATAGGAGTGGGGACCTTCCTTCATCTGACACCTTAAATCACTTCATCAAAATGACTCTGCAGGCTCTTTAACTGGAAACAGTGTATTTAAGTGCCACACTCTCTTGGGCCAGGACCAAGCTATATCAGGACACGTTGTGTGCCTGGCAGGTGTTTGTTAACCCAACTTCTCTGCTGACTTCCTCTTGAGAGCCGTATGTTGGCTCCTCAGTCCTGTTTATCTGCCGGCTTCCTGCCTGCCACCCAGAAACCCTGACCTGCAGGCTTATCTACTTTTTCTAGCTCTGAGGACAGCCCTGATGCAGGCACACAACGAGGGATGGAAATGGATGGCCACTGGCAGACCTGTGGGGAGTGGGCCCAGGGCAGGAAAAGGACAAAAGTGGAGGGGAGAAAGGTCTGAGAGGATGACATCATGAAGGAGGCAAGAACAACAGAAAGAGACAGACACAGATGGGAGAAAGAGGAAGGAAAGACAGTCAGAAATCTTTTTGAGGTAGAGAGAAGGTCTGCAGGAGCACTGTCATTGTCATGCCCAAGCTAGCAGTGCTGTGGGGAGGGGTCTTGGCAGCTCTGGGGCTTAGCAGTGCTGTGGGGAGGGGTCTTGGCAGCTCTGGGGCTTAGTTTCAAAAACTCAGAGCAAGGATGGGTCCGTCTGTGGAACCAAACAACTCAGAGGGGAAACCAGGGCCTGGGGCCCTACAAGAGGGAGTCAGACAGCAGGGTGTGGGAGCGGTCTCTTTACAGTTTTTCAGTCTTATTTTGCTAGGGAAAAAATGAAACAGGTTCCCTTGGTCTTTCCTCCCGTCAGCTCCCTCCCAGTGTGGAATCCACCACCCCTTGCGCCAGCAAAGCAGGAAGTTAGCCATTGGATGGTCTTGGCTTGCTCCACAGTGCCCCTAGGTGGCCTGCACCAGATCTGCACTCTGGATATACGAAGAGTTAGGCCTAAGACCGTACTCACTTCTACCTGACTATAGATGAAGTAGGTGCCGTCCACCAGTACCTCCAGCTCCCCGCTGCGGGGATGTAGCTTAAACACCTTGGGGTTCATAGTGATGCGAGACCAGTCATTGAGCACTCCACCTGAAAGATCTCAGTATGAGAGAAGGGTAGTCACTCAGTACATGTCAAGATAATCTGGGCAACAGAAACAAATAAATACCAAGCAGTACCACTCCCCCATTCCCTGCCAACCCTATCTAGCCCTGGTGACCATAAGTTTCAAGGGCCATGCTTTAAGAAGAACATTTGGAGGCAGGAGAGGTGTACTGTTTGTAAAGTGGCTTCTAGGCCTGCCTCAGGACCTCCGGATCTGCACACCCGTCTTTATCCTTGCATTCTCGACCTTTTCATCAGCAAGGCTCTTTATCTTCTAGCTGGACTCCGAGGTGGTGATGGTGCAAGAGGAGAGTAAGCACAGAACCAGATTTTCTTTGTTGTTATGGTGACTGCACAGGCAAAATCCAGACACTGAGTGGCAGGCTAAGTCTTAGTATTCAATTTCACTTCCCTAGCAGTATCATCCGAATTCCTCTCTTGTCTCAGAGGTTTGTGTCTTTTTACCTTCTTAATAGATTCTTCTCTATGGCTCCTCCACCACCCACTCCTTTCTGGGAAGCTTCCCGAGGGCACCAGGAAACCACTTAATCAAATGATCCATCTGTCTGGAGCACTACCTAGTGGTAGTTGGGTATTGGGGCGATCACTCACATCCCAAGGCAGCTAGGGATAGTAACCACTAGTAACCAGGCCCTGGAGGTGGGGGGGAACTTCACGATACTCGGGGATAACTTGCCAGGTTGCCGTGGACCAGCTAGGAGGATATGGGAAGGTGCCTAGGAGATGAGGCACCCTTGGCAAAGCATCTTTTCATATCCGTAACTCATTTGGGGACCCAAGCATGGGAGGATAGAGGAATATTTCTCTTTCCATCCTGCACATGGAAAGATTTTACTTCCAACCACAAGAGGAGGCAACCTAAGCTCATTGGGGCTTTTTCTTTCAGCCATTTGTTCTTCACACAAAAATACTATGATTTAAAAATCCATCCTTGACCAGTCTCAGAAGGTCTGCCTCTCTGGAGTATGAGGGAAAAGGAGGCCATTTGGGTTAGTAGTAGGTTCCAGTTCCAGTATGTCTATGGACTTCTCTGTCTAGTAGCCTCTCACCGCTGCCTTCCTCACTTCTGGCTTACAGTGTAAACTATGACTTGGAATTAGCCCAGAGGGACTGGAAATTGTCTTGCTCTGTTATGATAGTGGGAGCAAAATGAGCGGCTTCTGCCACAGAATGAGCATTAAGGCCACCACTTAGATACCCAAACAAATCTGGTTCCTGTCTGACCATGTTCTTCCAGATGGATGGTGATTATGGTCACCAAGGACCCTGGTCCCACAGAGCTTGAGCCTCTGCAGGGCTCCTAGGGGTTTTTTCTTACTCTGCTCCTATTTGTACTTGTGAGGCTATTAGGCTGGGGTGGTGGTTTGAATAGGAATGGCCCCCATAGACTCCTGTGTTTGAATGCTTGGCCCACGCTGAGTGGCACTATTAGGAGATGTAGCCTTGTTGGAGTAGATGTGCCTTGTTGGAGAAAGTGTGTCACTGCAGGGGTGGGCCTTGAGGTCTCATATGCTCAAGCTATGCCCAGTGTGGAAGATAGTCTCTTTCTGCTGCCTGTGGATCAAGATACAGAATTCTCAGCTCCTTCTCCAGCATCATGTCTGCCTGTACCCTGCCATGCTTCTCGCCATGATGATAATGGACTAAACCTCTGAAACAGTAAGCTAGCCTCAATTAAATGTTTTCCTTCATAAGAGTTGCTGTGGTCATGCATGGTGTCTCTTCACAGCAACAGCCAGTCTAACTAAGATAGCTGGGTATTCAGGTGGCAGTCAAAGGAGGAGCTGAGTCTGATGATTAGGGGAACTCAGCACAGACAGGTGAGGATTGACTGCATTCTTAGAAGCTGTCCTCAAGTAGCAGGTTTGGTAGCCTTTATTTACTGTTTCCGCTCACAACCCCTCCCTTCCATGCCAAGCTCTGTAAGCATCTGGCATCTTGGCTGGCTTGTTGTTTCCCAAGACTCCTGGGGGTTCATGCATTTTAGGCTTTGGGCACCCTGGAGACTGGACATTATTTCAAAGCACTGTTCTTTAATGAATGTTCATGTCTCCTTAGGGGAAGAAAATGAACCTAATCATTCAGTGGCGTGTACACACACACACACATCACTGAAGTAGCACAGCACAGTGCCAAGAGTCAGCAAGCTGTAGTTTGGAATCTTATCTCCTAACTTAGCTACAAAATATTGGACCAGTTAATTAAGTTCTCTGAGCTTTCGTTTCTGTGTCTGTAAAAGAAAGGAGAATTGCAATACCACATCATAGGGTGGTTGTGAAGGTCAAATGAAACAAAAGACAAAACATTTGGGAATTGTTGGGTGTCATGCAGACAGAAGGCGGCATGCTTCGTTTCGGTATTCCTAGTCTCTCTGGGACTCTCTTTTCCCATCTCATACTTGAAGGGATAACATGAAATCAGCATTTCTCGGCCCCACTGACATGTTTGCACTTTGGATAGACACTAGTGTCTCGCATTTGCTAGAGACTAACATATCCCCTTCTCTGAGAGAAACGCCCTTTCCACCCATTTTCTGTATAGAGCAATAAGACAAAATAATCTATTTAATATAGTTCTACATTCCTGAGTTTGAACTTGTGAAAATGCTTATATATATTCCGTGGTGACTCTGACATAACCATCATGACAACTTAGGTAGATGATGTCCCCAGTCCTATTCAGATCCTACATTAGTGGATTCTAAGTGCAATTTAGAGCCTGAGGATGCAGTCCAATGGTAGTGCACTTGGCTACCATTCACAAGGTCCCGGGTTTACCCCCTTGCACTGCAAAAGCAAAACCAAACGCAATTTGGGTGCAGCAACTTGTCTTGGTGAAAGCAGTTACTTATGACAGCCAGTAGAGGGCACGATGGAGTAGGAAATGCCCTTCTGTGCCAAGGATACTCAGGGACTTGGGAGGAGCTAAGCTGGCTGATTATTCGGAGGCTGGGAATGAGGGAAGGGAGAAACTCCTTGTAGGGAGAGAGACTACTTTGATTCTTACCATTCTTGACTTGAATTGCCGACCCTTGGCCCTGCAGATGCACCACAGCTGGCTGGGAGGATGAGAAGAAGAGAGTCACTGTGGTGGCTGCTTGCTATGTCATGCAGTCCTGGACTGTTACCTCTGGCTTCTAGATCCCTTTGTGTCCCAATTCTGATCCCTTTCCTCTGTTTTGAGATATTAACAGCTGTATTTCTCAGGGAGAAATAGTAGCACTCTGAGCTCTACGTGACCCTTCAGCCAAACACGATGCCTCGGAGCGTTATTTCCTCAACTGTAAAATGGGAATTAAAAGACTCTCTGTCTGGCCACTCTCACAAGGGCATCTGCAGTTCTAATAAGTTGCTGAATATAAAATTGCCCACAAAACCATCAAGGACTGTACAACTGTATAGATTTATCACTGTGGCCAAATAACAGTAGTGAGGGTGGTTGCTGGGAGGAGACAAGGGCGGGCTAGGCAGTAGAACTTGCCAAAAGAGACTGATTGGGAGGCTCAAAGACTAGGAAGGAACTTCTCAGGCTATTAAAAGGGAAGCCCAGGCTGGCCGCAGCCTAGAGCTAGTGGGCTGCTTTACAAGGACATACTCTTAAACTTATCAGCTCCAGAGTCCAGGCAGTCTGAGTGCCCTTCAGGTATCTGGAGTGGCTTGGAAGCCACAGGCCTAGGTGTACAGGCAGGTAATTTTTATAGACTACTGAACGTGGCTGTAGTGACCCTCCGTCACTCATGGAGTGAGTAGAATGGTCCAGGCAAGATTCTGTTCCCTTAGCTAAAGGCACATCTTTGGGGCAAAGCTTTTCAATTCAGACCTTGGCAGTGGCTGCCAGGGAAAACCTCAGAACCTCCAGGGCAACGGAACTTAAAGCCTCATGGAATTTCATAGGGAGTAGACTCCAAGGTGACTCCAAGCCTGAGGCCATCCCTCCTCCCCAGAAAGACAGTGATCCCCAGCCAACCTGGTTTTCTCGAGTTCCAGTTTTATCAGCAGCACCTGCAAAATAGGACAGGGCAGTCAGTGCCAGGCTCTTTTCTCCCGCTCGCTCTCTCAGTTCTGTAGCCAGGGGCAGAACTAGGATTCCCATAGCCATCCCTGGAGGAATTTGCTTCTCCAGGCCCACAGCTGCAGGAAGTCACAGCACAACGTGGGCCTGTCAATGGGAGAGAATATCCTCTCCTTCCTATTCTTGCCCCTGACCCTTATCTTCAGAGGGTCTACATCCCAGCAGCGAAGTTGGTCTCGTACCACTGTGCACCCACGGAGAACAAGAGGCTATGCTATGCCTGTCATTGTGTGTCCCCAAGACAATGGCACTTGCTTTTTTAGCCCTTTGTTCTTTTCTTACTGGCTTCACAAGGACCACTGTCATTTATAAAGATCTTGTTTCTTTACATGTGTCTCTTAGACTCTAGGTCATAAACTCTATGAGACCAGGGACCACTTAGCAATATAGTTCTTTGTACACAGAAATTGCTCAATTAATATTTGTGCAATGACTGGATTAAAAAAAAGCAACTTTATCTCTCGTGGCCATGGTAACACTGCTGAGCCCTGCTTGAATTATAAGGGAAAGAATCCGAGTCCTGCTGCTGAAATTTTAGACCTGGAGAATTCAGCTGTAAGAGTCCATTTCTTCAAAAACCTAAGACACAGGATGGGAGCAGGAGAAGGAACTAACAACTAGCAGGAGTGCAGGCGGGCTGCCTCCTGTCAACTCTAATTAGGCAGCCTCGCATCTGCAGCTGTACCTGTTGCGTGCCCTGCTGGGCTCCAGCAGAAAGACACAAAGGGATGGGATGGCATTTGAATGAGCAGCACGGTATTTAAGGATGGAGTGTAGTGTGAGGAGTATTTGGCTCAGGGACAGAGTGGTCTTGGTGTCTGGGTTTGCTACAGCCACAGCCTGAGTGATTCATAAATTTCTACCCATGTGACTAGAAGTGGCTACTGTCCACACGAATGGGAAACGACTCTCAGAGTCCATGGGAAGAAACTGTAACAGGGTTGCCATTTTGTCCAGTCCCCGACATTCCTCCTTACAAACTATTTCCATAAAACATCATGTGCCACTCCATGTTGAAAATCAGAGTAGGCCAAATCTGTAAGTACAGGAACTCCAGTGAATGGCCGGGACCTCTCTCTCATACCTCTGTTTTTTGGCTCATATGAGTTTATTGGCTCACTATATGGAAGTCTAGAGCCAAAGACAGAATGTGATGGAAGGGTTGGCATGGGGCAAGAACAGATGGCCTGTCTGGCACAGCTTGATCTCAACAAGAGTTAGAGCAGGCCAGGCCCTATCAGAGCTTGTTCAGTTTCTAGCTCTCCACTGTACTATGGATTTCTTACTGTACGTCATCACTGTTTGAAGATCACCTGCTTCTGCTCTACAAAAGTACAGACAAGGTTTCTAAGGGGTGGGAGACAGGAGAACTCACCAGAAGGTCCTTGGAGGCCAGGGGGTCCTTGAGGACCAGGAGGGCCAGGAGGGCCAGGTGGTCCCATAACAGTTGTTCCTGGAATCCCAGGAATTCCTGGAATCCCTGGGGGTCCCTGGGGTCCTGGAGGTCCTGGAGGTCCTGGGGGGCCATTGGGCCCAGGGGGCCCTGCTTTCTTTCCTATAATCACAGGATTCAGTGTTATATTTGGAGTTAGTTACTGTTAAAAATGTACTGTCACAAGTGTACCCTCAGGAGTTGTAGAGACTCCCAATGACACAAGGTCAGCCATCTAGGAGTCTTTGCTAAAGAGCTGAACATGTTTATACTCCTCTGTCTGACCCACATTTCAGGGAAGATTTGAGGACACAGAAATAAACAGCCCTTAAGGATCCCAGTGCAGTAGGAAAAGGTTATGAGATATTAGAAGTGCCACATTGATGAGAGGGACCAAATGCTAAAACAGGTCAGACAAACTTCAAAAAGGAGGCTTTGATCTGGTCCAAAGGATGAGCACTATTAGGAAACCAGACTTAGTACCTTGACGGTTCTTTTTAGAATTTGACAAGTGTTGGTAAGTGTGGGGCTTCATTTCATGAGCAGTTGGGTAGACCTGTGCTTAACCAAAAGATAATGGAAGTCTGACCCCACGAACACCGTCAGCTCCAGGAAGATTTGCCAGGAGTCAATTGTGCAGGGGTTGGGGGCAGGACAGGGGCAGCACTGGCTGCAAAAGGGGAGGGAAAAGGCGGTTTGGAGATGAAGGTGGAGAGAGAGAGAGAGAGAGAGAGAGAGAGAGAGAGAGAGAGAGAGAGAGACCGAAGCTAACAAGAGACAACAGAAAAGAAGGAATAGCAGGCAGAGACAGACCTGATGAGGAGGCAGCAGGCTCTGTTTTCTCAGCTGACCTTTCTAAACTCTATTTTTAAGGATCCCTGGGAAAGGAATTTCTGCAGACTCTCTTGGTTCCATGTTCCAGTGTTTATCACCCCTCATGGCTCACTGTTAGAAAGTTCTTTGGTATATTGAACTGAAATCCCTCCTGTGGCCATTTGAACTTTCATTCTATTCTTTGTGTAGCCAGGAAAGAGTAGTTATCACCATATACATAAGACTCATATACTCAAAGATATTAGGTTACCTATCAACTTCCATCTTTGTAGCAAAATAATCTACTTTCCCAGAGATGTTCATTAGAGGCTGTATTCTCAAATGCATTGTTTATCTGGTCTACCAATTCCTTCTTCTTTTCTCCTCACTGTCTTTCCAGAACAAACCCAGCCCTCCTATTTCATATGCTAGTCCTTCTACCATTTCTTCTAGGGCACAGTCATGGGAAGTGAATCATAACTGCTCCTTCTATAGACTTGCTTTTGGTTTTGAGCAGACCCAGCAAACGGCTGTAGGTCGTTATGGTAGGTTTCTTTGTCTTCTTTCTCTGCTCTTAGAATTTCAATGGAAGTCCTAGGATTGGAAATCTCTTACAGTTACCTTCCCCAAGAGACAGTTTCTTAGTTTCAAATATATATATATATATATATATATATATATATATATATATATTTACTTTCTGTCTTAGGATTTCTACTGCTATGATAAAACACCATAACCAAAAGCAACTTGAGGAGGAAAGGTTTTTTTTTCTTGTTTTTTGAGTCCTTTGAGGGAAGCCAAAGTAGCGACTCAAGGCAGGAACCTGGAGGCAGGAACTGAAGCAGGGACCCCAGAGGAACACTGCTTACTGGCTTGCTCTTCAGGACTTGTTCAGACTGCTTTTTTCTACAACTCAGAACCACCTGCTCCAGGTGGTTCCACCCACCATGGGATGGGCCTGCCCACGCCAATCAATAATCCAGAATATGCCTCACACAGTTGCCTCTAGGCAATTTGATGGAGGCATTTTCTCAACTGAGGTTCTGCTTCCCAAATAACTCAAGCTTGTGTGAAGTTGACAAACAAACCAACCTCCCAAATCAACAAACAACAGCAACAACAACAAAATAACTACCAGGACACTTTTACTTTAAAAATTTCTGACTGGTTCCAACTCTCAGACATTTTAGTCTGGAAAATTCTGTCATGATTTATCAGATCCTCCTTTAAGAATAATGGTTCATGTCTAAAAAACCTCAAGTATTCAAGGAAAGGCCTATAAAGAGACCAAGCATCCATGTCTAACCACACTCTTCTTCAGAGACGAAAGAGCAGTCCTGAGAATATTCCTTCAAGAAGGCCTTAAAGACATAGAGGACCCAAATATGGCATTTGCCCTGAGTTTTGCAGTTAAGATTGGATTTGCCCAGTTTCTATACATATTCAATTTAAGATGCTGAATAGGAAAACTATCTCCCTTTGGATTTGTGTAGCTTCCAAACTAGGCTTATTCGGCACCCAAATTGCAATTCTAATTAGTGTAGTGGAAAGAACCCAGGATCTGGACTCTGGAGACAAGAATGTCAGCCCCAGCCCTGCCACAGAGTCTCTTTGACCCTTAGCATCTCCATCTGGGAAAGGAGGAGCTTGGCCTCGGTGCTTTCTGTCTCTATGAGACTGTGACTGCACAAGAAAGACTGACTATTGTCAGTTGGATGCGTGCTGTGCTTCTTTCTCCTTATTTTCTAGTTGAGTAGGCATAGAAGTGGATGCACAGTAGGCTGTCCTGGGTTCCAGTATTTCTAGGCCTCGCAGAGATTTTCCAGCCAGAGGGTGTTCTGTGGGTAGCACAAGCTTTAGCTCCAAGAATGTGAGTCCCCTATAATTGCTTAATGTAATTTTAGAAGAATTCCATCCAGAGCCTCCTCCAGTCCAAGAAAATAACTGCTGCAGTATAAACAGAGAGTGATCATTTATGAAAATGTTAGAAGGCGTCAGAGAAAAAGTTCCCACTGGAATCTGCTTCTGCAGCTGGCCCTCTGCTTCCCTGCACTTGGACAAGGAAGCTCCTCATAGTTTCATTCCTATAGAAAGTTAGGGCCAGAGAACAGTATGCAAAAAATTACCTCTGGATCAAGAGATTGAATTCCTTCTTTAGATTCCCTAACTTTGACAGAATACGTCATGATACAAAAGCTTAGAGATGTTTGCACTGAGAAAGTCACCCTGTGTAGTCTTGGATGAAAGAACAATCACATCATTTCAAAGCTAAGGTGCATCAAAGGGGCATTTCCCTAACCTTTCAGCTGAGCTCCAAATGCTGAAAGAGCAACGAATGGAAAACAAGCTAGTAAAGGGAGGCTGGGGCTGGGGGCGGGAAAGAAAGGGTGCAATGGGAAGGGAGAGGGAGAGAGCTGCGGGAGCAGGAGAATTCCATTAAAGGGTGAAAATTAAGTGAACAATTCAATTTACCTCTTCAAGTATGTGCCTGCTCACTGTGTCCAAGGAAATCCATATTAAATGGCTTCTAAATCACTTTTAAACAAAGTGGATGTTTAGGGCTTATGTGAATTTTCTTCCCAATAATGTTTCATACAATGCTAGGCAACGATGTGAGTTATAATTTCTATCTTGAAGAGATGCGATGAGTTAAGAACCAAATACTTGAAACTCAAATTTTCTTTTTTAAAAGACAGAACATCCCAGCAGCTAACACTTGGGAACAAGCAGAAGGACTCCGTGCTCACTTCAGCTCCCTGGTGTTTACTTTGTTCAGGTCAGGTCTCAGAGAGCTGGGCAAATTTGCAGCCTTTTCTTTTCAGCAGGATGACACGATCGACATGACATGGAGCTAAGGGCACCTGAAGTGGGAGAGCACTCTAGTGCTTGGAGGGTTGCTCCGCTACCCCTGCAGCTAGCTGTTTCAGGCACTTGCAAATGCTCTAGAATGCTCCTTAAATCTAAACAGACAAAATCACTTAAAGAGCCTTTTGACATTTAACTATTTTATTTTATGTGTTTTGCTGTATATGTGTGTGTGTGTGTGTGTGTGTGTGTGTGTGTGTGTGTGTGTGTGTACGTAGACTGCATGCATGCCTGGTGCCTGAGGAAACCAGAAGAAGGTATTATAATAATCCCCTGGAACTGGAATTACAGAAAGTTGTGAGCCATCTTGCAGAAACTGGGGACCACACCCAAGTCCTCACTTAACAGCTGAGTTACCTTACAGCCCTGGTAAAGAGTTGTAAGGTCCACAATCCAAGCTACTCGGAAGGCCTAGTCATGCAGATCACTAAGCTTAAGGTCAGCCTGGGCTACAGAGTGAGTTCAAGGCTAGCCTGAACAACTAAGTGAGATCATGTCTCTCTCAAAGAAAGTAAAAGAGGGCTAGTGATGTAGTCCAATAATAGAGCATCTGACCAGCACACCTAAAGCCTTGGGTTACACATTTCTAGTATTATACAGACAGGGAGCAAAAGAAGAATTTTTAAGGGGAAACTCGCTAGTTTTACATTAACCTTGTCTTCCTTTCATGTCAGAACCCAGAAACAAACAGGTGCATAAACTGATTTCATAGTTGGTTCTTTTAGTGCAAAGGAGTGGTTTCATTTGCCTAATCCCTACAACCTGATTTCTCTTTGGATTCTCTTTTTCAGGCAGGCAAGCAAGCACTCCATGTGCCCCTGGCGACTTTCCTGTTAGGTGCAGTGGACTTAGGAAACCTAGGACAGCACAGTGGATCACTCCAGCTAGCGTCTATCTACTTTATAAACATGAAAGGAACAGAGTGACACAGCAGCATAGAGTTTTTCTCTCTTTCTTCATCACAGAGAAAATGATACTGAATTCTCAAAGCAAGAGGTATCATCTTTGATCATATGGGAAATTGAATTTTTAAAAACAGCTTTTAGGCTAAGAACCAAGTATTGATTCCTTTCTATAGGTAGCGTTTCTTTTCTCTATAAGTGGCCTTAGGTCTTCATTCGTGCCTGATAACTGAGCTGACAGAGGAGGGAGAAAGGTAAAAAAAAGAAAGCAGTGGACAGAGCAAGAAAGGAAATCAATATGAACTGGAAACAAAGATGCAAAAAGGAGCAAGAAGGAAGAACCAAAAAATAAGTGGTAGAGCTTTTGCCTAATGTACTTAAGGCAAAGGCCCTAGGTTTGACCCCCAATGAAAGAGAAAGGGGAGGACACAAGGGACAAGTCATCATTGTCATCATTATCGTCATCATCATCGAACAATGATAACTTGCATGTGTTGCTAGAGTCATTCTATCTTCCATGACTTGTTACTGAAAAACTAATTCTTGCTCTTTATAAAGTGCAACACTCAAATAAATGATTGAATAAAGCAATAGATAACTAATGCTTAAAGAAATTAATGCAAAATCCTATCCCATTCACTTCTAATTAAAAAGACACAACAATGTAATAAAATCAGGAGCTCAACTTACCCTTTTTCTTGTTTTTAACAGGACCTATTAGAAATAGAAGATGGAAGATTAAGTTAGTAGAAACTTAAAAAATGGTTATTCTCTAGAAAGTTACTAAGGGGGACCCTCAAGGCACTACAAATTTAAGGGACCCTCATAGCCACGCACCAGGTTTTAGACAGGGTATCTATTGCCCAACTATCAAGCTTCTACCATCTGTTTGTTGGCTGTTGAGACCACAAAAAATACATGGAGGATTCCTCCCTTAAGACGAACAACTTCCCACTTTAGTTGGGAGCGAGAGAAAGGGTATTTCTTCGTAGAGATGAAAAGCCCAGAAACGCACAACTCAACAACCTCAGGATGGCATTCCAGGAGCTCTGCAATTCCTGAGGTTGCCTGCTGAGTCATGCATTCGGGGAAGCCAGGACACGACGTTTTGGAGGAGGAGACTAGGAGAGAAGAGGTGCTGTTCTCAGGGATGGAGCAGAGCAGCAGCAGCTTACCTTCCAGTCACTTCTTTGTTGTGACCGAATTGGTTAGTTATTGGAACAGAGCAACTGCAGTACATTCGGGTGGGGGCCACACACTCTCCCACAGCAATTCACCATAACTTAATAGGTGCTTTAAAGGAAATGCCAACCATTTCTTTGGCAGTGGAATCTGAAGTGTCTTCTTATGTATTGCTTTTAAGCAGTTTAATCACTAGAGAGAACTCAAAAAACCAAAGATATTTTTAATTTAGTTAGGTGGCTTTAGGTAACAACCACTACCTAGAAAGATATAGTTTAGGTCTCAGTCACTTTTATTCATAGGGATTCAGGTTTTTTCTTTCTTCAGATGAATCTAAAGCTCTGTTCCAAACTGCCACAGACCAAGACTGTGCAGCGCTAGCCTGCCATCGCTGTCCTTAGGAGCATTTCTATAGTCTACGGTTTACCGATCACGCTTCTCTCTATTTAGTACCTAGATTGTTTCTTTTTTTCTTTTTTTTAATTTATTTATTTATTAAAGATTTCTGTCTCTTCCCCGCCACCGTCTCCCATTTCCCTCCCCCTCCCCCAATTAAGTCCCCCCCTCCTCAGCCCGAAAAGCAATCAGGGTTCCCTGACCTGTGGGAAGTCCAAGGAACCCCCACCTCCATCCAGGTCTAGTAAGGTGAGCATCCAAACTGTCTAGGCTCCCAAAAAGCCAGTACGTGCAGTAGGATCAGAAACCCATTGCCATTGTTCTTGAGTTCTCAGTAGTCCTCATTGTCCGCTATGTTCAGAGAGTCTGGTTTTATTCCAGGCTTTTCCAGACCCAGGCCAGCTGGCCTTGGTGAGTTCCCAGTAGAACATCCCCATTGTCTCAGTGTGATTCTTGTAACAAGTCTAGAATGATCTCCACCTATGAGATCAGGTTTCACAGGAAGCTAATAGAGTCTCTGACCTCTTTTTAACTGGATTTCCAGTGTGGCCTCAGAGCTGCGTATGTCCCTTAAAAAACCCAAAGTGTTTAGATTGCCCTCACAAAGAAATATAGCAGCAGGGACCATGCGAACTATGCGGAAGATGTTTCAGGTTCGGTAAAGCAGCTGAAGATCATGAATTTCTCTTTTCTTATTCTTCTTTTCCTCATGTCTTTCTCCTCCTAGTCCTTTGTCATCTTTGTGTTTTGGATTTCTGAGCTAGGGTTTAAATGTGTAGTCTAGGTTGGTCTTGAACTACAATCTGCGTGCTTCAGTCTCCTGAGTGCTGGGACACAGGTATGTTTTCATACACTATTAATAGTGTTTTTCAAAACACTATTAAGCATTCCTGAGAATGTGCATACAGGTTCTGACAGGGAAGCAAGGCTATGACTGAGTAAGGGACAACAACTTAACCTGAGAAGGGCCTTGTTCTTGAATAAGAAAGCTGTTTAAGGAGGGATTTACACAGAAGGGCTCAGCCTCACTAGTTAGCCACCCCAGTGGCCAGTCAGCCACTCCAGCCTCATAAGCAAGAGCCATGGGATGTCAGCTGCCGCAGCTGCCCTGCCCTCATAGCCAAGGTGGCCTAGCCCTGGCCACTTCAGCTAGTTAAGGGGTAGTGCTATTGCACCAGATTCTGAGGCAATCAGGCCAGCTGGTCTTTTCTGGGTATCCCTATGAAGGTGGCATGGTAAATAGGGCCAGAAAACCGTCATCATAGAGCTTACAAGTTGGATAGGAAACTACTAAGTAAGGGGGAGCTCAGGAGTCATGCTGGCTAGTTGAGCTGAGGACTAAAAGTTCTAGGGAAGACGTTTTCCTTATACGTACAAGTGGTAAAACGAAAGGGGTACATGTTTCATTTGTTTGTTTTTGGAAAGAGGGTCTTTCTATGCAGCCCTGTCTACCCTGGAATTCACTTGTGTCCCAGACTGGCCTTGAACTCAGAACTCAGAGCAGTTTTCTTGTTTGGACTTACAGTCATTCCACACTACATCTGACTTGGGAAAGGGAATTAAAAAATTATTTCTACTATAAATCTGACCAAGAATCTCTGACTGGGGAGCTGGCAGGCTCCAGGGGTGGATCTACTACTACCATTTGTTTTACTAAAGGGACACAGAATCACACTGCTCTCTAAATTGCTATCTCTTTCCACAGAGATTAGTAGTGCAGTTTCCAGACCTCACCAGAGAAGTGTGTAGTAGATGGTGGTTCATGCAGAAACTCATAAGTGGTCAAAGCGCAGAGTAAGTGTTAGTGGAACACTCAGCCATAAAGTATTGTAATGGTCAGTTTTATGCCAACTCGTTATAAGCTGTAGTCATCTGAGAGGAGGGAGTCTCTATTGACAAAATGCCTCCGTAAGACTGGGCTGAAGGCAAGCCTGTAGGGCATTTTCTTAATTAGTGATTGATGGGGGAGGGCCCAGCCCATGTGGTTGATGCCATCCCTGGGCTTGTGGTCCTGGGCTCTATAAGAAAGCAGGCTGAGCAAGCCATGAGGAGCAAGCCAGTAAGCAGCACATACCCCCACCCCGTGGCCTCTGTATCAGCTCTTGCCTCCTGTCCATTCTTTGATAATGAACTGTGATGTGGAAGTGTAAGCCAAATAAACCCTTTCCTTTCCATCTTGCTTTTGGTTATGGTGTTTCATCACAGCAACAGTAACCCAAACTAAGACAGCTACCTGACCTATTTTCTCCAGCCCATAACCCTCAGAGTCAATCATGGAAGAGGAGTGTGTCTTTTGGACATGACACGGTAGCTGTACTCATGAACTCAGCAGCTGGGGCTGCCCAGGCAACACTTGGAGAATATCAAACCAGTAAAGAAGGGAGCATGGATGTATGGGGGAAGTCAGTTTTCTTTAAGGACATGACCTCTGCTCTACTTTGTCCCAGTGGATGGTCCCACACCCATAAGTATATGGGCAAGCACAAATTAGACTCAGTGGATTAGCCAAGACATGTAAATAACCTAGGTTCCATCAGCTGATGAATGGAGAATGAAAATGTGGTACTAGTCAGCTATTAAGAAAAACAAAATGATGAAATTTACAAGTAAACGAACATGCTGAGTGAGGTAACTCAGATCTAGAACAGCAAATGTCATGTGTTTTCTTCTCATTTACGGATGTTAGTTGTTGTTATTGTTTTCTTCCTTTTGTTTTTGAGACAGAATGTCTCTATGTAACCTTGGTTGGTCTGGAACTTGCTCTGAAGGCCTGCTTAGCCTTGAACTCACAGAGTGGTAGGATTAAAGGTGTGTGTCCCTACAATGGATATTAGTTTTGGATCTTCAGATATGTGTTTCATTTGGAATATCCATAAAGGTTAGGGAATTAGGGGCCACGAGAGTGGGGTTTTCAAGAGAGGGGGATAGAATACCGTGGTATAATGGGGTAAAGGGGCATAATGGGAGCTTGGGATAATAATGGGAATAAGGGAATATGGGAAAAGGTAATTAACACTAAAGACCCTTTCAAAGTGTCATATGGAAACTTACTATAGTAGAAAGTTCCTAAAAGAGACTCGACAGCTCTGCTCTCTGGAGAGACGCCATGCTCCCCTCTCCCGGGTGGACGTGAGAGCTCTCTGAGACACACGCGATGAGGCTCCGACCCAGGATGGACATAGGCTAGAATCTCCCTGGTAAGCCACCTCATGGGCTACACAGATGATTAGAAATGGGCTAGTCCAGGTGCGAGAATTAGCCTAGAAGAGGCTAGATAGAAATGGGCCAAGCAGTGTTTAAAAGAATACAATTTGTGTGTTGTTATTTCGGGGCATAAGCTAGCGAGGCGGCCGGGGTGCTGGGGATGCAGCCCCGCTGCTCTTTATTATAACAGAATGCCAGAATTCTGAGACTGAGCGTGCAGCACAGAAATTCTTTTCATCCAAGTTACATCCAAATCTGTAGAGCACTGCGCAGTCTAAAAACACGTCTCTGTATGGCGGCAGGAATCCGCCATGCTCTCCTGCTTGCCTAAGGCTGATTCGGCCGTCTGCCCAGGTGCAGGCGGGGAGTGCTGAGCCATCAGCACAATCTCAGAGCACTCTCCTTCGGATCCCAAGTGGGAACACAAACATCCAGTCCCATAAAAGCCACTGAAATGCTTTAAAGCCAGAGTTCATACATACATGCAGACACACACAACACACACATACATACATAGTTTAGAGTTATGCTATTACATGGCAAAATGACCCTACTAGATTCCACAGGCTAACAAATAAAAAGTTCAGTGCCAAGAATGAGTTACCTCTTCTGGAGTTGTTGGCTAGTGAGGTTCTTTAGACACCCCACCCCTGAACATTACAGACTCTAGGCTACCTTTCAGAACTTTATGATAAGACCCTTTTGCTGAAGGGACCACATATTTGAGTCATAGAACATATAGAAATCAAGCTAATACCTGGAAACTTCATGCCTACTGGTTAGCTTTTATAGTCCAGAAGGTGTGATGCATGCCATTACCAGAAAAGTAATCCTCAATCTTACCCCAGCTGTCAACACTGAGCGTTACAACCAGCCTGGCAAGACATGTCCATTTGGTACAATTATGGCATGAATGCCATGAAAGTAACCAA